AGAAAAAGAGGTAGACCCCCAATGAGATGAATTGGCCAGGTGGCAGCATTGATGGACTCAAGTGTGGCAGTGGTAGTGAGGTTGACCCAGGATTGGATATTGTTTCGTTCTGCTGTGCATGGGGTCACTATGAGTCAGTTCTGACTCTATGGCACCTGACAACAACAACAACAACAGAGTGGTTTTCATCCTGTCTAGATGGGTCTGGTGAAAGGAGATGGGGATAAGACTCTCCATGATTCAATAGTGAGTAATTGTGATTGTTGCAATTGTAGCAAAAAGAGTTGAGTGGTCGATCTTACAGTCCTGTCTGGAGCAGAGGATCCTGGGACCATCAAGGGAGAAGAGCAGGAGTGGAGTGTGGAACCCTACTCAGAGAAGCAGTGACACCAGAGATGGAGGCAGAGATGATGACATGGAGAGATGAGCTGCTGAGGACTCTAGACTCATGGAGGGAGAGGGGATATGTGGTGGTGGCTGGGGGTCAGGGTGTGTCCTTTGGCTGTTTAAATGCTTATGTATTCCTGAGTGTTTGGTGCACATCAAAAAACAAACAAACAAAACCCAGAGGGAATAGAAGTAATACTGTTGAATGATGAAGCATGCAGGGGATAGTAATCATTGCAATGAAACAAACTGATGTTCCCCCATGTAAACTATCACTCAATTCACAATAAAAACTTAAAAGAAAAGAAAAAAACAGGTCATAAATAATCTAGCAGGGTAATCTGTTTTATTGTAGACCAAAATCTTTTGTTGTAGCTCACTGTCTTTGCAGAACCCTCCTTAGAGATGATTCTTTGAGATCAGGGACTCTGGTTCCCAATTAAGAGTCTACAAAGAACACTTATCAAGCAACTATTTTATGTTTGGTAAAACACCAAGCATTTTCATATAAATTCTATTGCACTTGTTTATAATAAATTAAGGGGAAATTTTTAAATTTTATTTCTTACACACACACACACACACATATATAATTAAAGGTTTTATTTACAAAAAGAAAGAAAAACTTACCTCGGTTTCCTCGTTCTCTCCCTGGGCCTCCTAATTAAGTCTTCCAAATGTTTATTTCTCTCTTCTAAACTGAAAGAAAAACAAATTAAATTTTATGACTAAAACTGATTTATTTAGGCTAGTACTTTGTTAGATTCATTAGCGAATATGAATAGATAAATTCAACTGGCAGTCTAGCTATTTCTATACCATCTATTCTTCTTACCATATAAACACTTGAGATTCAATCCAAGGAACTCAAATCATTTGTTCAGTTTGTAGGTTTCAGTGGTAAAGAAAGAAAGTAGATCATGATAAACATAAAATAACATTTAGATGTTGTATTCATTTAAACTCTTGTTGGAGCAGTGATCCCTCTACGTAGGTAAATTACATGATCTTTGGTTGTTGTTGTTGTTGTTAAGTGCCTTCGAGTCGGAGCCGACCCATAGCGACCCTGTACAGGGTTACTGAGGGTGTAAATCCTTACGGGAGTAGAAAGCCTCATCTTTCTCCTGCGGAGCGGCTGGTAGTTTCGAACCACTGACCTTAAGGTTCGCAGCCCGATTCGTAACCACTACGCTACCAGATCTTTGGTTAGTATGATAAAAATAAAATCTCTGATCCAACTATATGCCATCTATGACTACTTTAAACCCAAAGACATAAATAGGTTGAAAGTAAAGGATGGAAAAAAAATTCTATATAAATAGTAAGTTGTAACTGATTTATGATGCCAGCCTTACCCTGATATCAAAGCCAGATAAAGACACTATAACCAAAAGAGAAATGTTGTGACTACATTCAAGCACCCACTTCTCACTTATTGACATGACCAGGTTCCAAAGACCAGGCTGTTATGTGAAAATGGAGGATGATTGTAATGTAATGCTACATCATTCATAACTGCCACTTTAGGTCATTACATAACTTCCAAACGACTTAGTATCACGGCCCAGTCAAATTGACACATAACCTTACCCATCACAGCCAGCTCTTACACTTACCTCACACCTCAGTGTTCATTAATGCCTGATGTATGTTGTTAATGTGTAAAACAAATGGTAGATTCTTTTATTGTTGTCATTATGGTGCAGAGAATTACTTGATATCGTTCTTCTAGCCACAGTCTTTGCAATTCCTACCCAATGTCTGGGTGGTATGACACAAATAGGGTGTATGGAACTCTAATATGGGGATTGGGCAATTTTTCCATTCTGCTGGATTTAAAATGAGCCATCTCAGAATCAAGGGCAGGAGTGGAATGCATCCTTTGGACCCTGAGATCCCTGTGTGGAACTTCCTTGATCCAGGAGACACATTATCAGGAGGGACCAGTCCCTGGAGGACATCATGCTGGGAATCATCAAGGGTCAATGAAAAAGAGGAAGACTCCCAACAAGAATGGTTGACACAAGACCCCCAACAAGATAGATGGCAGCAGCAATAGACTCAAACAAAACACTGAGGGAGAGGATGCTGAAGTACTTACTGGGCAGTGTTCTGTTGTGTGTAGGGTCACTATGAGTTAGAACTGACTCAGCAGCATCTAATACCAACAATTCTCTTATCCTCTTTGGAGCCTGTGTAAGCACTCAGGTCTGTTTTTTGTTTTATAGACATCTTTTATGAAGTATAACTGACACACGATAGACTACACATATTTAAAGGGTACATTTTGGTGTTTTGACGATCATCACAATTAGCATGGTGTACAAAGCTGTCTTTCTTAAAATGTCCCTTTATCTTGCCTCCTTGCATCCCTTGTCAGTGCCTATTCCTCATAATCCCCAGATAATCACTGATCTAGGTTCTGACACTACACACTGGTATTTTTGTTGTGTGCCATTCGAGTCAGTTCTGACTCATAGCAACCCTATAAAGGGTTTCCAAGAGTGGCTGGTGTGTTTGAACTGCTGACTTTGAAGTTATCAGTCCAGTGCTTATCCTACAGTGCCACACTAGATAGTAGCATTATCTAAAATGTTATATAATGGAATGTACTTTTTTCAGAAGGATGTTTACATATGCTTTATTGACTACGCGAAGGCTTTCGATTGTGTGGATCATGACAAACTATGGACAACATTGAGAAGTATGAGTATTCCAGAACACTTAATTGTACTTCTGAGAAATCTGTACCTGGACCAAGAGGCAGTTGTTCGAACAGAGCATGGGAACACTGAATGTTTTAAAATTGGGAAAGGTGTGCGACAAGGTTGTGTTCTTTCACCATACTTGTTCAATATGTATGCTGAGCAAATGATACGAGAAGCTGGGTTCTATGAAGGAAAACGTGGCATCAGGATTGGAGGAAGACTTATTAACAACCTGAGATATGCAGATGATACAACCTTGCTTGCAGAAAGTGAAGAGGACTTAAAATATTTACTGATGAAGATCCAAGAGCACAGCCTTTGGTATGGATTACATCTCAATGTAAAGAAAACAAAAATCCTCACCAGACCAATAAACAGCATTCTTATCAATGGAGAAGAGATTGAAGTTGTGAAGGACTTCATTCTTCTTGGATCAACTATCAACACTTGTGGAAGCAGCAGTCAAGAGATCAGACGCCGTATTGCATTGGGCAAATCTGCTGCACAGGAACTTTTTAAAGAATTAAAGAGCAGAGATGTCAGCTTGAGGACTAGGGTGCGCCTGACCCAGGCCATTGTATTTTCAATAGCCTCATATGGATGTGAAAGCTGGACAGTGAATAAGGAAGATCGTAGAAGAATTGATGCCTTTGAGTTGTGGTGTTGGAGGAGAATACTAAAAGTGCCATGGACTGTTTTGGAAGAAGTGCAACCAGAGTGCTCATTGGAGGCCAAGATGGCTAGGCTTCGTCTCTCATACTTTGGACACATTGTCTGGAGAGAACAGTCGCTGGAGAAGGATGTCATGCTGGGTAAGGTGGAGGGTCAAAGAAAAAGAGGAAGACCCCCAAAGAGATGGATCAGCCAGGTGGCATCATTGATGGCATCTAGTGTGGCGGCAGCAATGAGGTTGGCCCAGGATCGGACATTGTTTCGTTCTGCTGTGCATGGGGTTGCTATGAGTTGGTTCTGACTCGATGGCACCTGACAATAACAACAACAACTTTTTTCATATGTACTCTTTTTGTATGACTTCTTACATTCAGTCTAATTGTTTTCAGATTCATTCATGCTGTTCTGTGTATTGAGTTCATCCATTTAAAAAAATATTGTAGGAAAGTATAGTAATAAAACATTCATCATTTCAACCATTTTTACTTGTATATTTCAGTGACATTAATTACATTCACCCTGCTATGCAACCATCCTCACTCTTTAGTCTATTATACTGATTACTTTTATATTTTTATATCAATGCCGCACTATTTTTATTATTGTAACATTATTTTGAAAAGCTTGAAATCAGGTGTTCCTTCCAATTTTGTTCTTCATTAGCATTCTTTTGGCTATTCCATGTTCTTTGAATTTCTGTGAACTTAAAAACCAGCTCATCAATAGCTACAGAAAAGCCTCTGGGACTTTTGACTGAGATTGCATTGAATCTATAGATCAATTTGAGGAGAAGTGACATCTTAACAATCTTGAGTCTTGAGACCCATGAAAAGGCAATCCCTCTCCATTTATTTGTCTTCTTTATATTTTTTTAGCAATGTTTTGTACTTTTCAGTGCAAAGGTCTTTCACATCTTATTGTGTGCTGTCAAACTGATTCCTGTGCTGTTCATATTTTTGAGGCTGTTATACTTTATTAATCTCTGATTGTTCCTTGCTAGCATATAGAAATACGATTGATATTTGTATATTGATTTTGTCTCCTGAAACATAACTAATCTCACTTAATAGTCTTAGGAGCATTTGCTTTATAGATTCCATCAGATATTCTACAAGGATGTAAAAAAGTTTCCCTACTAGGGTTCCATTTCAAATAGCATGGGTTTGTTCCAAACAAAACATGCTTACACATGCTTCTGGGGTCACTGGATGGCTGTAGACAAGTTCTTTCAATAATACACGTTTTAGTTTCATTGTTGTTAAAGTACTGTAGAGTTGGTTCCGACACATAGCAGCGCTGTATAAGGTTTCTGAGGAGCGTCTGGTAGGTTTGAACCACGAGCCTTGTGATTAGTGATCCAGTGCTTAGCCAATAGCACCACACCAGGACTTCTTAGGATGCCTTTGAAAAATGAGTTCAATCAAAACAGACGCTTCCAAGGGAATCTGCTGGGCCAATTAAATTCAAGAGAGACAGCTCAGAAGGCTATGGTGACTCATCTTGGGGATTACCAAGGGGTTCATCTTGATAGATTTTCTTGACAAACACAGGATGATCATAAGGGCTTGTAAAAAAAACTGAAAACTTTATTGGTGAGAAAAAGGTCAGAAAAGTTGTGCTGAGGAATTTTTTTCCCCATCCACAATGCACCTGTTCATTCTTTGAGACTAGCAAGAGCTGTCCTATGAGAATTTTATTGGAAAACCTTCCCCTACCCACCTTACAGCCTGATTCTTACTCCTTCAGACTTCTTTTTGTTTCCCAAACTAAAACAACATTTGAAAGGGACATGATTTAAGACCCTCAAGGATGCTGTGGCGTGGTTAATGATTTAACATTTCTACTAGCCTTAGTCTTTGTAACTCCTACCAAACAACTCCTTTCCTGCTGGGTCTGGGTAAGAGAAGATGGGAGAATACACTGATAGGACAACATGATTCAGCTATGGATGTTAAAAGAGTTCATTGTAATTGTAAAAACTTGAAACTCTAGCATGATTATAAAATGATCCATCTCACTACCATCAAAGAAGAGTCAAGAGTGGAGTGCACCCCTTGGACCCTGAGATCCCTGTGCATTGAACCTCCTCAACCCAGGGACTGAACGCTGTGACAATGGGGGAGGGGTAGAGGAGCAGCAGTAGCAGAACCAATAGTCACAAGCAGAGCAGTGGGCTTCCCAATACATGGAGCAAGTAAAGCTGTGACTTTGGGCAGAAGGCTTGCTTGCAGAGTGGTATGCTTCCAGGCACTTAGTGGGGCAGTTAGGTTTGCTGACCCATGTTGTTAAGCCAAGAGCCATTTGGCTGAAGCTGACAGT